CAAATAAATAAAATCTTTAAATTCGTGGTTTGATAATTCTAACATTCCTGCTATATCTGACTCTTGTTCTGATGGGTTTTTATTCTCTTTAAACTGAGGGGTTTTTTGCCTTTTAGTATGCCCTGAAATCTTTCCTTTAGAGGAAAACGTGATGTACTGGGTAAAAGGAACTGTGGTAAACTGACCTTCAGCAATATAATGGTAAGTTGTGGGAAGAGAGGAAGTGTTCTGTAAGTCCACTGATTAGGTCTCTGTCTTTTGGTGAGCCTACTACGCCTGTGGAATGTGAATTTCACCAGTGATTCTTGGGGAGGGTGGGGTTTATCCCTTAGGTGGCACATGATGGGTACAGTGAGCTGGAGTTGGTTATTTTCCTTCCCCACATAGGTTAGGCTCTGAAATAACCAGCACGTTAGGCTCTGGTAAAACAATTTCTCCCAAGAACAACCTTGCTAAGAAAAAAATGTCATATTTCAAAATGGTTCCTTTTCTTCTCCCCCTGCCAGAAGCATGAAGGGATTTTCCCTGATCTTCAGGGAAGATCCCTGGGAAGACCTGGTAGAGATCCTGGAGGTTAAGCACACAAGCCTGGGGGTCTTCCTGGAGTTTTTAACTCTCAGACCTGGGACATGAGCCTCCAGCAATTCACCAATTATAGTTCAGGTTTTCCTATTCTGGCTCTGGTTCCCACAGAGGTTTTAGCTGGTAGGTCTCTGCTCCAGGAGGTTGTGAATTTCTATAACTGCCTGTCTGTCTCTCCAACTGTGGAAGGAGCAATTTGCCTTGTGACCTCACTTCTCTTAGAGATCTAAGAAGAGTGGTTGATTTTTCAGTTTGTTCAGCTTTGTATCATTTTAGGTCGAAGTGAAGACTTCTTTTTTTTTTAAGATTTTATTTCTTTATTTGACAGAGAGAGACAGTGTGAGAGGGAACACAAGCAAGGGGAGAAGGAAAGGGAGAAGCAGGCTCCCCATTGAGCAGGGAGACCATCGTGGGGCTCAATCCAGGACCCTGGGATCGTGACCTGAGCCGAGGGCAGATGCTTAAGACTGAGCTACCCAGGCGCCCCCCCGAGTGAAGACTTCTAAGCTCCTTACCTGCCAGACTAGAAACTCAAAGTCCGTTGGCTATTTATTGAAAATAAATAAGTTACTTCAAAATTCATTTTGTCAATGTATTTTTACTTTAATTATCAGTTTATTTTGATTTACTACTTTTATTAATTTACTTTTTAAATTTCCAAATTTAGAGAATACAAAAATTTCCATATTGTCATACAATTTGGTATGAGCTTGTTTCTAAGCAGCTTTCACAAGTCTTAAAATCTAACAACTTAATTCCTTTTTAAATTCAGAGTTGAATAACTTGTCCAAACCAGCCATTAAAATAATAAGCAGGATAAAACAAAACGGCAACTTATTGTAAAAATCCATGATTTTAAATGAAATTTGAAAAAATTATACATCATTAAATACATGAATACTATTTCATTTATAAATCTTATTTATGCATTTAAGCAGGCAATATTAGGGAGCCTGGGCTCAGTCAGTTAAGCGTCTGCCTTTGGCTCAGGTCATGATCCCAGAGTCCTGGGATCGAGTCCCGAATCGGGCTTCCTGCTCAGCAGGGAGGTCTGCTTCTCCCTCTGCCCCTGCCCCCTGCTCATGCTCTCTCTCTCTCGCAAAAATAAATCTTAAAAAAATAAAAATAAATAAAAAATAAAAGGGCAGCATTTGAAACTTCCACATTATTTTTCAAAAGTATTATTAAAAATATATGTAATATGATGTAGCTTTTATTAAGGAGATAAAAAGAAACATCCAGAAGCTTTTGTTATCTTTGTACTCAGCATGAATGGTTACACACTAATGATTCTGCATTACTGAACATGGAAAATGTTCCACTGCAGGTCCATTCCAAAATACATGCCTTTGTTTCCAATATAAATCCTAAAAAGATATGTCACATATTTAGGTAAATAAATATATGCCAACTGAATGTTACAGTTAATTATTGGTTTCAGATAAATATTATGTACTTTTTTGTATCCTTACTTTAGAATAGGTTTCATTTTTAGGTGAATGACTTAAGAATTTCCATGTCCATTCTAAAGACTTGTTGCTTTGGAAAATATAATCTTTCTGGCCCAGAAACAATATGCACACTTTAAATGAAGTACTAACCCCTGTGGTACACTGAATAATGGAGAGTTATAAAGGCTTTGGGAAGAAAGTCTGAGCACGGTGTCACCCCACATGTAAGTGACAGTGTCAGTAGGCTGCCAACAGCCTACGTGCAAAGGTAGTGTTTTCTTAACCTAAATTCAATTTTTTGTTTCAATCTCATATGAAATACAACACCTACATTACAATTACAGAAAAGATGCTCTACACATTAAGTATATGAAATAAAAAAAAGTGATGAGTATATTTACATTAGACTTTTATAATATTAAAGTTCACTTTTGAATATGCAAGAGTATGTTGATATGAAATAATCACAATGAACTTTAAAATATAGCTAGAGTTACAACACTGCCAAAAATAAAATTGTAAAACTAAGCTAAAATCAAGTTCATATATATGTGTCTGTGTATCTGCAGAAATATATACATATGCCATAAATATTAATTATATCAAAATTAATTCTATCAAAATTTTGTACTAAAGATCAAACTCACACTTGTACGTAATTTTTCAAACAGTACATTTCTAAATTATAATTTCAACTTAAAAAATCCAACTTATGGGGCGCCTGGGTGGCTCAGTCATTAAGCGTCTGCCTTCGGCTCAGGTCATGATCCCAGGGTCCTGGGATCGAGCCCCACATTGGGTTCCCTGCTCAGCGGGAAGCCTGCTTCTCCCTCTCCCATTCCCCCTGCTTGTGTTCCATCTCTTGCTGTGTTTCTCTCTGTCAAATAAATAAATAAAATCTTTAAAAAAAAAAAATCCAACTTATCTTTTCCTGTGAACATTTTAAAAAAATGCTCTATTCCCACCAACAGTGAAAAGGGTTCCCCTTTCTTCCGCATCCTTGCCAACATCTGTGGTACTCCGTGTTACTGTTCTACTTCACATAAAATGTAATAACCCCACAACCATACTTTCATTCACCCCATACAGTCCTTTGTACTATTATCAAATATGCTGTATCTATGTACATTCTAAACCCCACACTTCAGTGTTATAATTTTGCTTTTAAATAAAAATTAGGAGAAAAAAATTCTATTGAAAAATTTGTTATGCTGGATGCTGATTATATAGGATATATATGCCCATACACATCATCTGAAAAATAATAAGCTGGACTTTTAGAAGAAATTAAAGTCCATATTCATGTGCCAATTTTCATTACTTAGAATAGTATCTTTCATTCTCATCTAAACCTACGTAAGAACTGACCAAAACTTGAGCCAGAAGAAGCTCAAACTCAGGAAGAGGACAATATAGTAATTTCAGGATTAAACTGTATCTACATATAATAGCAGCTACTTTTGTAATAGGTCTCAGAGCCAGGAATTCATTTATAAAGGCCAATGGTAGTATTAAAGGGCAGGCTGGGGTTACAATGGAGAAAAAGATTTGGAATCCTCATCATCTCTATGAACTACGCTGAAGTCACTAAAGGAACACCCAATTTTAGTAAAAAGCATTTTAACAAGTTAGACTACCATCCCTATGCTCTCCCATTGAGAAACATATAGACTACACTTGGAAAAAAACACCCTTTGGTTCCAACATCAAAAAAGCACTAATTATTACACTGAAAATGCATGCACACAATACAAACAAAGGGTGCTGTCAACGTAGCGTGCGTGTGTCCAGTGGGACTTATTAAACTCATAAGCTGAAATATTTCCATCATTTAGGGATAAGACTGAAATTCAGAATGACAGGCTACCCACTGATTCTCAACCTGTTTTCTGAAGAACGCTTTAGGATCCGCAACAGGAGGATTACTCTCCAGAGTTTGCTATTAACTGGCGGCAGAGATGTTTACCAGCTTGTTTTAGAGCTGAAAAAAAAATCTTAGGAAAAGCCCAAAAGGCAGGAGGCTTTAAACTGCTGAGGAATTACAATTCAAAAGATAACTAAAAGGAAGTAAAATACTGAGAAAATGTCTTTCATGGACGGGTGGAGGAGGGACCCTGAGGAAGTAAGGCGGGAGAGAAATGCAATGCTTCCTATCTTTGGTATCCTTTGCCTTCCAACAACGACAGGGAAGAAAGCTGGTGAAACTGCAGGAAGATACTCTGGCTCTTTTGTTCCACTCATTAATAAAAAGAAAAATCCAGGCCGTGTAAGAAAAGAAAAATCCACAAAGTGCCTTCATTTAAATGATTGAGAAATCTTCCATTAAAAACGTGAAAATAATAAAAAAGACATCGTATTATTTTACACTAAATCCATTTTGATTCGATGCATTTTTAAATAGCAGTTTTCTACTATTGCAATAATAGATCAGAATAGCTATTTTCAAAATACTATACAAAAGTTGCCATGGTAACAATGCAAATCTTTTGAAACATAATTAATTGCTTAAAAATTCATCAGACAGAACATGGCACTCTTCTTCAGAAAATTTTTGCATTTTCTTTTACAATATTAATATAATACATAGTATCATGCACATCTTCTACTTCATTAAATGTTTTTCTTTATGTAAAATGACTATTAAAATATTGTTGTTTTTATACATTAATCTCAACAAGAATTCTATTTTATATTTAAAGCCTGAAGACAATCTGAAAACACTAAGAATTCATGAAACAAAGACAGAAAAAAAAATACCTTTTCTTCAATGTATTATTATGACTATATTTATATATTATCTTCTTATACCTCTGCTTTGGAATCTATCAAGTATCTTATTTACCCTCAAAATACTGCAATGCAAAAATGTCTGCAACAGGACAAATGACAAAGAAATACAGCTGCATGAGTAGTAAAGCAGAAAAAGAAATCCACAGAAAATCATAATCACACATAAATATATCTTACTCTTTGTAGTCCTTCATACCAATCATCTTGCTCAAACCAATTTGAAATGTAAGTCATCCAAGCCATAGAATGTTTCTACCTTAATCAAGGCAACTGGAAACTCGGCATCAGAATAGTCGGCACCTAAAGTAACAACAATGTGTTTCAGCCAAACAGCTTTACCAAACCTGCCTTGTGAAATGTTGTTCCGTACACAAAGCTAGAAGCACACAAACATTTCAGCTGAAATAGTTTTAATAATTTACAAATAATAGTATCTGTAAAAATAATGCTAAACCAGAAAATGTAAGCCTATACTCAAATAGGAAAGAAACATCAAATAATCACTATGTCGTTGTATAGTACCAGCAAATACTTTATCAAGTATTAGGCTTTCAGTTTTCATTCTAAAAAAACATACTTGATTCAACTGTTGCAAGACAGGCGAATTACATCTAAAAGTCACCAAGTTACAAATAAGGAATCCAGAGAAACCACAAAGCAACAGGAAGCAGAAAAGCAGTTCTATTTTGAACCTTAGGAGGTGGAGATAAAGCCAGAAGAAATCTTCTAGGTTGAAAGGTATGCGATGACAAGGCCAAGTCTGTCTTGCCATTTGCTTCCATCTCCGTCCTTGAGAGTTAAATCCTTCTACGGCTAGCCGGTTGCTAATTCCCTAAGGGCTTCAAAAATTCAGAGACTGCACATCACTTAGTAGAGGGCTAACATGTTCAACAGAGAGTCAAAAATCACATGAATTCGGCTACTTTTTCATTTTACTCACTTCTGGAAGATACTATTTACTGGCCATGCTAAATAAGAGATGTCTTGATATACTGGAGAACACGTGAACTTCAAAATATCCTCTGCAAGGTTCAGGTGCTTCACCCAACATATAGCAGCAAGTTCTGACCTTTTCCTCACCAAACTCATCAAACCATTACACCTCAGTGGAGAAAAAAGGAGAGAGAGGGAGTAACGGAGGGGGGGGGGGGCAGAAAGAAAGAGAAAATATTTGGGTAGCTTGTTTCATTCTTCATATCCTAGAGTAAGATACCATTTGTTCTGGCATAAAAAAGGTTCACTTCTATGACATATAAACATCACCATGGCTGACTGAAAAACAGCTTTATCTCTAAAAGTCTATCAGATGGAACATGGCACTCTTCTTCAGACTAATTCTTCTTCTCCCTTTTCTTTTTCCTAGAAATATTTTCAAATATCTGCCTGAAGCCTCAGGTCAAAATGCCTGGGAATAGGCTCTCGCACAGGAAGTTGTAGGACTAATAAAATCTCTTGTTTAATTTGTTTACATCTTGAAGACTTCCTTGATTCTGGACCCTTTCAACCACCTCTAAACATTCTTGACTTTCTCCTGCATTTCCCATTTCAGTGACTATCATTATACTCTAGACAGTAACCTGAGATAAAAAAAAAAAAAAAAAAAAAACAGCAAGCCGGGGCACCTGGGTGGCTCAGATGGTTAAGCGTCTGCCTTCGGCTCAGGTCATGATTCCAGGGTCCTGGGATCGAGCCCCACATCAAGCTCCTCGCTCAGCGGGGAGCCTACTTCTCCCTCTCCCTCTACCTCTCCCCCTGCTCATGCTCTCTCTCTCTCTCTCTCTCTCTGTATCTCTGTGTCTCAAATGAATAAATAAAATCTTTAAAAAAAAAAAAAAAAGCAAGCTGTCTCTGACTCTTTCATCATCTTCCCCTCCCTGTGCCACTATATTTGATCACCAAGTCTTAGCAAACTGTCTTTAAAATATCTCTTCAAAAGGCCCTTCTCTCCATCTCTAATGTCAGTGTTTTAGTGAAAACCCTCATCATGTCTTGTATGAATAAAATAGTTTACTCACTCATATCCTTGCTTGCACTGCAATTCCTAAACATGTTCTATACCATCATCACTTTATGCCTGTTAGTTTTTAAATTCTTCTGCCTGAGCTGTCCTTCCCCTTTTGCTGTGAATGAGATCTGTCACATTTATGGTCCTCTAAGACACAACTTAAAAATCCTCCTTCTTTGAAGACTTTCTCAAATGCAACAAATCCTTCATCTGTTTGCCTTTATTTACATATTTGCAAGGATTAGATACTGATTTGTGTAGATACAAATTGTGAGTTCTCCAAGGCAAAGGAACTTGCCTTATTCATCTTTGTATAGAAGATACAAAATGTTTGTTCAGTGAATTGACACTCACAGCCCTAGAAGTCTGTCAGCTAATGGCAGTTCACATGAAGCAAACTTACATATTTCTGAAACTTGGAAAGGGTCTAAAGAAATGTATCCAGGTGACAGGTAATATACTCACCAACAAATGAAATGGGACTACCATTCAATTCCTTAGAGGGAAATGGCTAACCAAATCATTGGTTATCATTTAAGACATTTTTTAAGCATAAAATTAAATGCCAACTTGAATTGGTAAAATTATTTTATAATCATACCAGGCACAAGTATATTTATTATACCATTTTAAATACAATGTAGTTAAAATGAATACCTTGTTCCTAGGCCACACAATAGTTCAATGCCTTATTCTGTGATATTTTTCCATGAGCACTATTTACCATATTTACAAGAATTAAGAAAAGTAAAATATTTCACATCATGTAATCCCAGATGAAATATGATCTTGCATAAGGATACACACTTCCTGATGGTAGTCAGGTGTCTTGATGATCTGAGAGTGAATAGAATCTGGTTCATTTAGTGTAAGAACGACTGACAGTTTTCAACTCTCACATCTGCTTGATGGGTTAGGACTGTCTGGAGTGCAGAGCTGAAACCTGTAGCTGACCTCCGAGGGGAAGCATGTCATGATCACTGAGCAGTAACTGAGACCAGAAGACGACAGTCATGGTGGCACTTGGTCCACAGATTTGTATCTGTGCATTAGTCTGTGGGTCTAATTGACCAATTATTGCTAAAATCACAAATTTAACTTAATTCAGAGTCAGAAAATTCTTACTACCTCTTATGACTAGTGATGGAAGGAAACAGTAATCAAAGGGAAATGTCACGTTAAAGAAAGTAAAGAGAATGAAGTAAAATCTTGTGTGTTGTCAGAAAACTTCCTGCAGGCATTCATATCCAAACACACAAGTAACCTGAAGTTTGATTATTGGTTCTGACTTTTTTATATCCCTCTCTTTATCTATATCTTTGCCATGACCCTGTCCTAGGCAGACTGCATACCACTGCCTATGGCTTTGGACTTGCCCTGTGACTTGTTTTTGTCAGTGATATGTAGGCAGAAGTCAGAGTATTCCAGTTCCAAGCTCTGGCTAAAGGGCTATTTTCATCCATATCCTTGCACTTCAGCCAACAAAGCGAGAACATTCCATGGCTACCCTGCTGGTCCAAGAAGGATGAGAGACACAAGGAGGAGAGCTGCCACAGACAAATCACAGATCTAAGTGAGAAGCAGAAACACTCAGCCAAGCCAAACCTGTTGTAAAACCCTAGTATTATACTTGTGAGCACAATAAATGTCTAATGTTGTATTTTGCTGAGTTTTGGAGTGGTTGATAACAAAATATTTTTGTGGCAAGAGCTAACTGATACATTACCTCGACTGTAGGACGACAGGCACTCTCTATGGAGATTAGTTGATCAAATCAATATTCTCACCTTACCTACATGAGGAAACCCAGGTCTACTGACTGTAGGAAATAAACAAGATTTAAAGAGTTATGCCTATGTCCCTGGCAAAACAGTTTTAAAAGACAGGATTTTTAAAATGAACTAAATATAGCAAGACATATTTATATAAGTAATCTGAGTTATCTCACATTCTTTTTCAACCTCTAACAATCACTGAAAAACAGTTGAGTTTTTCTTTTCATAAGAGAGAAGTAATCAGCACATTTTGTGTGATCCATTCATGTGCATGTGAAGTTTCCATTTTGCTATGACTTTCCCTTGTTTAGAAGTGCTTTTTTTTTTTTTTAAAGATTTTTTTTTTTAATTTATTTATTTGACAGAGAGAGACACAGTGAGAGAGGGAACACAAGCAAGGGGGAGTGGGAGAGGGAGAAGCAGGCTTCCCGCAGAGGAGAGAGCCCGATATGGGACTCGATCCCAGGACCCTGAGACCATGACCTGAGCCGAAGGCAGTTGCTTAACAACTGAGCCACCCAGGCGCCCCTAGAAGTGCTTTTAATTCTTTGTGTTAGAACAGTTAGGACCAACTAGGGGATAGAGCAATTTTAAGTAAATAAAGTAGGGCTCTGCTCTCACTGAGAAGCTGGTCCTATCTGCCAGTCATCAACACCCTACTATAAATATGGGGATTAAAATCAAGACACATGTCAGCAGTCCCTGGTCTAGAAATGAAAGTACTAAAAGTTCTCTGGTTGTGATTTTTTGTGAACCTAATTGTACCACATCCTGAAATGTTTATTTCTGCTTTCTTCTGCCTAACTTGATAATGTTTTCATTTACTCATGCCTGTTTAAAATCCTAAAGAGAGTAAAATGACATGTTTTGCCTATCCTAATGTTTGGGCTCCATGATGTCTGTTTTGATTCTACATTTAGATTTTTCCATCCAGTTTTACCTGATTATCTCAGACCAAGATAATGGCTTAATCCTCCGAAATTCTGTTGGCAGGCAATCTTTTCTGTACTAAATTCATCCCTTCCAAGTTATGTCCTCTTACCTACTGTACTATCTCCAGTTCCTACATTCTCTTAGTCAGCCCCTGTCTCTGCTGTCTTATGAGACAGCAATTATATTTTAAGCTTCCTAACAAACTAAGTAAACATGTAAAATAAGCACAAGCCATTGCTTATTCAAACAGGGCAAAATGAAGGATAAAATAAATGGCATTGCTCACAATTATTCTCTTTTATCTGCCTGTATCTGTCCTGTCTAAAGTCACGGTAAGTTAGGGGAGAGGACAGGGGTTGGGAAAGAGACTCAGGATGTGCACCGGGCCTCATGCTAAAGATGTTGTACAAGATGACAGAGATCTGGGACCATCTGTCTGCTTACCCGTACTATGAACAGATATTCCTCTTTTTTTTTTTTTTTAAAGATTTTATTTATTTATTTGAGAGAGAGAGAATGAGAGACAGAGAGCACGAGAGGGAAGAGGGTCAGAGGGAGAAGCAGACTCCCTGCCGAGCAGGGAGCCCGATGCGGGACTCGATCCCGGGACTCCAGGATCATGACCTGAGCCGAAGGCAGTCGCTTAACCAACTGAGCCACCCAGGCGCCCAACAGATACTCCTCTTGAGGCATCAGTTAGTAGAGGGCAGATGACAAAAATATTACATCATACAATCTGGGGGAGTTGTCCATCCCAACTAGATTAAAATTCTACATAAAAATGTCAAGAGGAAGTCTGAGTTAGAGAGCAGATAAAAAGTTTACCCAAGTGTGCTCTGAATCCTCAGAATGATTCTATATATTTAAAAGACTGCTACTTACAAGACCTTGGCTTCCAGCAATGGCAGACCAATGTGTACATACATACACAAACACACGCACACGTATATACACTTGCATACATACCATGTATGTACACACAAAACTCCAGTTCTCTTACTAAGGACAACTAGAAAGGCTGGATAAAAATATATAAAATCTCAAACTAAAAAAAAGCCCCAAGAGAAACCCAAAGGGTCTAGCCAGGTATTTTTCCTTTGGTGGTAGTGGCGGGGTGAGGGGTGGGAGGCAGGGAATGCTACTTTTTTCCCAATAAGATCTGCCTATAAAAGTAGTAGCTAAAATACTGAAAAGTTATGGAGAGTTTCAATAATCCCATAGGGCCTGAGGGAAAAAAATTGGAGTTCAGATGTTGCCAAAGAAAAAAGTGATCTAATACTGGCGTCTTTTCAGTGAGAACTACCTGGGTCTACATCTTAAGACTAAGAATGAAATAGAATTAGACCATCCCTTACAAAGACTGAGGCTCAGCTTCAAATAAATTCAATGACTGGATTCA